ATGTGTTAGCTTAGTGAAGCTGTCTAGTTGTCACCCCACCAAGCAGCAGATCTAGTGTTTGAATCCTATGAACAATAGTTTTGAATATTAGGCTATATTATAGTTAACAATAATTCCAAAAATAGCTTGGACTTAGGACCCTGTAATTTTAGATAACACTATTTTAAAATGGAAAGAAGCTATTATAAAGTGGTAGGCTATTTGCTACACATCTGTGCTTAGTTGCATAGAAGGATGCAGATCCAGTAATCTTTGATAATTAGCAGATCAAACACTATAATAAGGTATGAACTGAGTAAATTCTAGAAAGCTGGAATAACTGAAATCTGTTTAGGAATACCCAAATAGGGAGGTAGCAGAAGCTTTCAACGATACTGCAAAATAATACTTGAATAGCACTAGTCCTGGGATATTGTTTGGCATAGACCTCTTAGAGGTAAGAGTTAACAAAAATAACTGCTGGAGTTGCACCAGAAAAAAAGAATATGTTTTTTGGAGTTTAATAGCACATAAAGCCAGGATTAGCTAATCTCATTTTGGATCTACTAACTGGAAGAATGTTAAGCTGGAAAAAAGGATCTAAAAGGGAAGTAAAGTGGGCATTAGGGTAGGTATAAACTTTATTAGTTAGGAGATATGTATGGGTAACACCCAAGTACTAACTTCAGTTTAAAAATGAATATCTTTGATACCTGATCTGAAAATATGTCTAAGACACAAAGTAGGGTTGGGGTGGGTATTACAACCAATGCCTATCTTAGATAATGCAGCAAATTTGGGTTGAAAGCTTACCAATAATATATAAAGTGTAGTAGCAGTGCTGGATATAAATATACTATAATTTCATAATATATAAACTAGTTAGATTAAATTTGATACTGTAAATACAATTTGTACTAGTTCAATTGATTCTAATATCTAAAAAGTCAATAAACTATAGTCTCCAGATATTTAACAAAAAAAAAGTTATAAAGATGATGAACAAGTAAAAAAATATTTAAGTATTTTTTAATTTTAAGCCTTTGACAAGTTTTTATTTATTAAACAAGTTAATTGATTATCAGATATAAATTTTATAAATAAAATAAAAATATAATTAAAAATTTAGCAGTATAAAACAAAAATATACTGTTATCCAAATTAAAAATGATTAATAATAATTAAAAATTCGTAAAGAAATTTTTAAAGTAATAATTTACAAAATAAATTAAATTTTTAAGTTCTTTATTGGCATACCAAGAGCTATTGAAATTGAAAAGAAGTATAATATAAAAGTCAAATTAATATTTAAAGAATTTTACACTTTTATATTATTTGTGAATTGGCACTTGTATTATTCAAGATAACAAAAACAATAAAAAACTAAAGAATTTTTGATTAATTTTTACCCTAGGATTTATCAGGATCAATCAACCCACTGACAATCACTTTACTGAAGCTTAATTTACAGACAAAGTAGTACTGGTCAATATCATTAAAATCAGGTTAGAATTAAAATTAAAGTTAGTGTGATTTATAAAAAAAACTTAGTCAGTAAAAAGATCTTTGGTAAAATAGCTATTAGTAAAATGAACTTGTTGGTAAATAATCGTTGGTGAAGTGTGGTGTCTATAAAGTGATTGTCAGTGAAATAATATGGATCTGGATTTATTAGTTATTGATCAAGATACTGGAAAAAAGAGACAAGAAATAAACCAAGAGGTAAATAATTGGAATCATGTAAACATAATATTAATAGAATCATCACCATTTACTAAAATAATCAAAAATAAATAATTGTTGCTAGGCATTCATTGATACTTGTTCAAAGATTATATTAATGAAAGAAAAAAAAAAGATATTGTATAAAAATGTGATAGCATATAAAATCACTCAACCTAACATAATGTCACATATAAATTCTCATGGAACCTAATTTTATAGCCAGATATTTAGTGAGAGATACAAATACAAATACTAGTTTCTAAAAAATCTTTAGAAAGACATTGACGTTCAATACATTTTTGATGCAAAAGTTAGTATACGATCATATCCCATGAGACTGTATAGTTGTTATATAACATATTTCTAATTAGGAATAAAATCCTATATTTCAAATCAGTTTATTGCAAAAATGCTAAAACTATATGATCTTGTACATATAAATATTAAAAATTGTATTTTTTATTGATATAATTGATCAGCTTGTCAACGAAGTGACAAAGCAATCATTATTGCGAGATCAAGGGACTTAGTTGCGGATCACATGTAAATCAATTTTTAGCCTTTTATGGTAATATGAATGTTTCTTAGTACGTATCTTGCCGGATACAAGTTTTTGCGGGTAAATCCATGATTGCATATGATGTTATTCTTTAAAGTAAGTAAACAGGTAATAAGCGATAAATTAAGGAGCATGATGTTAGTTAAGGAGTGTGATAATGCATGTTGTATCAAGCGGGTAAGTGTGGGAATAATTAAGTGAATTAATAAGGGTATGTAAATTTGATTCTCTACAGAGGAATTCGGATATTCTTTTGTCCGCTATCGATCGCCTTAGCAAGGCTGGCTCTATCGACCCTCCCTGCCACCCGTTGTTTTTTTTCTTTTTTAAGTGGCTCGGCGGCTTATAATAGCACAATGGCCACAGTTGGACTCAATACCATTAAAGTAGTGCGAGTGAGAATCATACTCTATGAAGCATTAACAATATTGATTCTCAAAATCGTTATGTAAGCTGAAAAGTTTTGGTGTTTTCTAATTTTGCAGTTAAGCCGGAGGATTCATACCTTGAGGCCAGGAAGGTTAAAATATTGTTGGGTTGGATGATGACCTCCGACTCAGGTGGCTCAGCCGTTCGGACTAGGGTCCGAAGGATTGGGGCTATAAAACTGCGTTTTCCTTCTTTAGTGGCACGATCAGTGTAACATAGTACCAATGGAATAAACTAGAAAATTAATGAAACGTCTGGATGAGCGGACCTCAAAGAAACTTATATATTTACGACTAATTTCGTGAATATAAATCCCTTATCTCTACATATTACTATAGCAAATTAGCAAATATAACTATCAACTTTTTTGATATATAATATTTTTGATATACAGTATCAAAGTAATAACAATTAACTTTATTTAAATCTTTTTTATGTACAGTATCAAAGTAACAACAACAATTAACTTTATTTAAAAAGATGTAAGTTATTCTATTATTCCAAACACAAACTAACGTCTTAAATTAGCAACAATACAGTATTAGTGATTATGCAGTATATCTATTTTAATGCAGGATTATTAAGTATATAGCGATTGTTTTTATATTAAATCGTGCGTTTAGTGATATTTCATTGTAATCAATAGTCCAAATAAAATAAAAATTAAATGATATGATACAGATTTTAAAATTTTTTAGATGTATAAAATTGTCCAGTGTTTTCAACCAAAAAATTTTTATCTACTTTGTCGTGTTCAAAAGAGAAAACTTGAACCAAACTAACCCCAGCATCCTTCGGACTAACCTCATAACCATTCATCATAACAGGAACTATGTTTATATCTGTACCAATATTAAAAAGAGAAGAAGGATCTAACAAGCCCGTCGTGGCATTAACTTCATGAATATAGTCTTGTTTTTGTGTTCTGATTCCTAATCTTTCCATAGCAGCAGTAATATCAACAGTGCCTGTTACTAAAGAATTATTTTTATGTTCTAAAGTACTTTGCCACATAGCAATAAAACCCGCGAAATGAGGAGAAGTTATAGGAGTTGCGGCATTCGCACTTGGTAGATCAACGAAAACTCTAATTGCGTATGGACCAACTAATTTACCTTTCTCTATGGTAACTTTTACAAAATAACGTGTACCATAATGTGGATCAGCTTTATAAAGTTCAAGAAGGTAATTTTGCAGTTCTTTCGGGTCTTTGAATTTTTCCAATTCAAGATAAGTATAACCAAGTTTTGTTATATTTCGAACATCAGAAGATTTCCAAAATTCAGTTTCTGATTTTCTAAATGGTTCTAGATCCGTGTATTCGTTAAGCACATAATTCATGCCTTCAGTATAAGATCCGTTTACATTTAAATTTTGAGGAACCCAACTGTTGGGATATCTATATTTAAAAAAAAAATTTAAATATATGTTGTTTGTAATTAAAATTAACGAAAATATTTTAAATAAATTAATACTAACACTCCTCGCCAAAGAGCAATAATTCGATCAACGTTTAAATGAATAAAAAAAAATATTGGGTCAAACGCAGCTAGATCAATATACGACATATGACCTCCAAGACCACCAGTTACCATGTGTATTCCATCGTGGGTTGTCTCAATTGATGAGAAATGGGCGTACCCAAGACTTTTTTGAGGATCCGGTACAGGATGGCCAGGGTTTGATTCAGGTATTTCATGATCATCCGATGCTACTATATGATTACTAAAATGTAAAAAGGATGAAACATGAAACATCTGATAAAGGCCTGGCCTGAATACAGACCGAACATAAACTGAAAAATTTTGTTTTTGAAGATCGTAACGATCTTCATAATTAGAATTTGGATATCGAACGGTTGGATAGCCTTTTGGCGTATATGGAATATACGACATGTTAGGAACGTTGTAATTTGGTTTATCGGTTGGATTTTGTCCTTTCTGCAGTGGCTCCGAAATATCTGTGGGTAGTGTATAGCTTTTTAATGGGTTTGACACGTTTTTCTTGCCACTTGGAGTGTTTATTTCTATAGTAGGAGACATGAAAATTTCTGGGACACCTTTAATAGCTTTTTCGTCAGCCCAGTCCCAATAAGGGTGACGAAGCTGTTTAGCCGCTTCAATATATCTATCTCTTTGATTTAGAGGGTATTGTGCGGCAATTTTTTTAGCCTCACCGACCAAAAGATTTTCAATTAACATCATGTATGGTATATGCCAAGTTGGAAATAAAATATTTCCATGTTGGCAATATCCACCCCAACGACCTTCTGAAAATTCCGATGAATTGTATGGATTAGCACCAGTAACACCATCATAGGCGGTATATGGCAAACCATGTATGCCAGCGACCTGGTAATATGATCTCATATCTTCATATGGGCGGTCCTGAAGGGCTTGATAGCCCTGAACTAATAAATCAAACTGAGGTCGATATGTCTCATTATTGTAAAAATCTAAAATGTCCAGTCTGGGATAAACGTCCTCATATGGCGAAACAATAACTTTTTCATTAAATGTTGCTACATTTCTTACATGAGAAACGTGTGAATAATGTGAAGAATGACTCAATCCCATATTAAATGTTAATTTTTTAAATTAAATTTTTTGAAAATCAAGAGTAAATTGACCATCTTTTTATATTATTCGATATCAAGGTTGTAACTGAACTGCTTCTCTTCCGGAGAATCATAAGCCGTTACTATGAATGCAGATCCATGCAGCGTGAAGCCTTAAGTGTTCGTTTATGGTAAATAAACGGAACGACCAAATAAACATAAAGCCAACTATTTATAATTTCCACCGTAAGTGTAGATACATAAAATCTTTTCAAGAGAATGAGTTTTAGTAATAATACTAATAATAATAATAATAATAATAATAATTATTATTATTATTATTATAATTATTATACTGTTACAAGATCCGGTTGCGAACTACAAAATCTATATCGGTTTTTTTTAAATAGCTAGACTCCTATTATAAACGCAAAGTGTGTATGCATTTTAAATTTTTTCTTTTCACGATATAGCCTCTCAGCTTATGCTAGACCCGAGCCTACTATGGTGGAATGTAACAGACCCGAGTCTTGTAGACAGCAATTTACGGTAATAACTAAAAAGAAGTTTCGATAATTCTATATTTGTTTAATATTATGCACAGGCGTACACACTTATGCATGAATATAAGAGTAACTTGCATAATATAAATGTCAAAATTTCCACTAAAAGAAATTTTCTATGAAATTAATTATAAAAAAAATTTTTTTAGTCTTTTAACTACATGTATAGTTTTTTTTTTTAAACTTTTAAATATATAGATTTCTATTAAAAAATCGTTTTTAAGATTTAATAAAAATAAATTCTTTTGATTTGGAAATATCCTCTTAAAATATCCTAACTTTTATATTGTATATGATCCGAAACTTTAATTTTTAAAATATCGATTTCAGGTATAATAAAAATTACTCATTACGTACAATTTTTGAATCCTTTCTTTTACTTCCAACGGAGTAATTTCCTAATGTTAGCGAGTAATTTTGTCACATGCAGCATTTGTCTAATTCTTGATTTTTGCATTGTCGCGATATCCATGTTAATCTTGCCTATAGCAATAGTAGTATTAGGTATTATTTTTGTATTCTTGGGGCGTAATGTAATGCATGTGAATTCACGTATACGCTAAATATACATCGTAAACGTCGAGGTCTTATCAAAAAATACCGTAAACGCTAAAAATATAGCATAGACAATCTAATTTTAAAATGTATATAAGTACTTTGTTAAAATAATGATATGTGCTCTCTGCATTCGTCCTCAAAATAAAAATCTCATAAATTTATGTTATATACTTTCTATAATAATCCTAAATTTACGAGTTCCATGTTTTATTTCAAGTTCGTGTCTGATATCAACCATAGATCGACAAATTTATTTTCTCTAATGTATTTTTATCGCATTAAGATTTTACTTTTTTAATTTCAGGCTAAAATTCAAATAAAAAAAGTTTATTGGGTTTGGTAGGTAATTATTTTAATATCCTTGTTAAGTATAATATTTTATTCATAGCTTTTATTGTGCGTATGTTTGAGATTAAACAGTTTGTGTAAATAAATTGCTCAAATAACATGTTTATATGATTATAATTGCTGTTCAAACCGTTTGTGACAACCCATACCATGTGATAACCACACACATTGGTTTAAACCTAATTCCTTATGCTAAAACTTGTTTAAAACTAATCATCACATGGTTTGGGCTGTACCAAATAAGTTTGGACGGCAAGAATACATATGATGCTAATATTACGTATATATACATATAATATTGATGCGTTAGCTATGTGATAAGTATTGAACATCGTGAAACATCAGGTTCTTATAAAATAAGAATATTCTATTTAAAAAAAAGTCGATACTATATGTTAACCCCATACCATTATCCAATGAGATATCACACCATATTCATAATTTCGAGGTTCTAAAATCAAAAAAATATTATTATTGACAAGTGAGAACTAAAATAATTATGAAAAAGAAAAATCAAGATATATTTCGATACCTTTTGGGAGGTTTTCATAAGGATATTGACCAATTGATTTTAATTTAAGCATTTTTTCAGGTGAACTACTGTTATCATCAATTATAATCTCATGATTTCCAGAAAGAATACACCATTGGAATAAATATTCTTTTTTTGTTTTATTATATACACTAGGATGTAGGTCTGAATCATCATAAATGTTAGCTTTAACTTTATTACCATTATTGTATTGAATATTGGCCATAAAATTCGGTCCACAATTTTTTGGATATTTGAAAGATGAGCAAATAATTGAATCTTCTGGTAGATTTTCTGGTATTGGCAATGGAATTTCTAAATTTTTTGCATACACAAATTTATGACTACCTGATGCTAATATTGAAATATCTCTAGTGTTTCGACTATAGAAACCAATTTCAGGTGACCCAACCATAATCCAAAGTATTTGTAGATTTACGTATATGGACCTGCTAAAAATTTCAAATAGGCAAATTAGAAGCAGTGCTATGACTACTATAAATAATGAATACTTACTTAATTTTATCAATATCAATCATGATTGAGAATTTACGTTTAGTCATGTCCTTGAATTTTATTACTGTGTGGTTAATTGGTTTCCCGTCTTGCGTTAAAATTTTTCCAAAAATTTGATAATTTTTAAAGTTTAGTGGATAAGGTAATTCTACAGTATAATAATAAAACTCTGTAACTTGAACGACACCTGACATGAGAACTTTTTTTTTAATTTTAAAATCTTCCGCATGATCAACAATTCCAAGAATAGATTTAACCTTTTGCTTCAAATTATCATCCAAAATCTCATATAATGGATGTAATTTTTCCCAACTAATGATTTGTAGACCATTAAAATTATTATTTAGGCATGACGTAAACCATTCTTTGAGATCACTTCTTTTAAATGGTTTGGAATCAAAGGAATCAGATGATAGCAAAAATGATTCACCAAAGTCACAACGTGCAATTGAGCTTTCCCATTGACTCCAAAATTCATTAAATTCGGCTGTTTCAAAATATTCACGACTTACAAACTCCTTCTTTTCTGACAATGTGCTATTCTTTGCCAAACATGGCACTCTATATAATTTATGCCCGAGAACAACTTTGCTTGGTATAAAATGACCATAATCTTCAAATATCTGCATTAATTTATGATAAGGGTCGTTATATTCCAAAGCAGATTTAATATCATTTATCAATTGTTCAGGAAGTATAATATTTTCTTTCTTAAAAATCAATTCCCATAGAGGATATTGTATTTCAAGATATACTTGATTAGCAGGTTCATTAACTAATTTACTTGAAACGATTTTCGACATCCGATGAAATTGGTCAAAGCTAATTGCAGACAGTTTAATATGATTGTTTAATAAAAAAGTGTCTCTTTTTGATTTAGGAATTACTAAATTTACTTGGAAGTTTCCGGCATCATGATTTATGTGATTGATTATAAGTTGAACGTTTAATTTGTGTGCTGGATTTATTCCTTGATTACAAATCATCAAACTGTGATCCAATTTTTTATCCTTTACTAATGATTGTTTCTTAATAAACTATAAATAGATAAAATAATTATCGGTACACTATGTTAGTTTAGTGAAAATATTGTTTAAAATTTCAAACTATAAGAATATATTGTCGCACTTCATATAATCTTCGTAAAGCATTCAGTAAAATACCACGAAATCCCGAAAAACAGATTGTCGCGAACTTTAAATATGCACCACAAAATACGATAATTAATTTTCTGGAATCTGTTTTTCGGGATTATTGTGGCAATTCCATAATTCAATAATTTTGCTAGATATTAATTCTTTTATTGTAATTACAAAAAACACATTTTATAGATAATGTGACTATATAGAAGTGCAACTGTAAAATAGTAAAGATAAATAATACTGTCAATTGATAATATGGGTATTTTTAACCTACATCATCAATTTCGTCATCTTTCAAACGCTCATATTCATTAATGTCGGTTATCGAAAACCTTGGATTCATATCTTTCACACAAGTCCGATATCTCTCTATGATTTGTTCGAATGTTTCTTTAATGCTTATAACATCCTTATATTGAATATAACTATATATCTGCGTTATACATTTGGAAAACTCTTTAATATTCACTAAAGCAATTTTAAATTGCTCAAGCACAGTTAGATCGTCTAGTTTAAGGTTCTCAGATTCAAAACACATATCGTCTTTTTTATATTGTAATAACCTTACAATTGGTTCTGCTGAACATATTACTAACTCAATAAAAATGTTACAAATCAATTTATTATAACGAGCTGCATGGCAAATCCGTTTGATTTCATCAATAATATTGCTCAATAGTGATGATATTCCTGTTAAATTATTATCCTCATCGGTTTCTTTATCTTGGAATGAATGGTCAGAAGGCATTATTTTTTCAGTAATAGATGTACAGTCAAATTATATGAATTAATGCTACTGACGGATCATTTAAAAAATTTTCGAAAATTCGTAATTTACGGCAGTTACTATTCATTATATCTAGGATTGATGGTTTAACATAAATTTATTACACGTAAGTACGTAATTCCTGTTCTAAACATGTGTTAATGTTTATTAACTGTTAAATAATAATGTAGTATGTACCTACGTAATTTCCGTTTTAAATTTGAGTTAATGTTTACACATAGTTAAACAAAACATTTAAGTTGTGTAACAATTTACTGAAAATGTTTAAAAGTTAGTAAAATTAGAACTTCTTCAGCTCGGAATATTGGGTGTTTGTTTTCCGAATTCACTTTCCTTTTAAAGTATATTAAAAATAAGTATAACGATAGATGCGCGCGATTAGATTAGTTACACCAAATAATATCAAATGATGGATATTTTAAATGAAAATCTGAATCTGATATGAAAATAGAGATTTTTTAATGAACTGCCTATGTTTTTATAAATTTCATTTACACTTCATCACACAACATTACATATGACCCGAGATTGTTTGATTGTCATGTGTACGTAAATATTTATTTAGGAATTTGGATGTATTTATTTATAGTCGCACTTCATATAATCTTCGTAAAGCAGCCAGTAAAATACCACAAAATCCCGAAAAACAGATTATCGCGGACTTTAAATATGCACCACACAATACGATAATTAATTTTCTGGAATCTGTTTTTCGGATTATTGTGGCAATTCCATAATTCAATAATTGTGCTAGATATTAATTCTTTTATTGTAATTAGTGTTCCGAATCGGGTCGGGTTCGGGTTGAACGTCAACCCGACCCGACCCGACCCGAAAATTATCCAATTTATAGATGCGCGAAATTAGCAGTTTACGGTTTTTTTTTGGTTCTAATAGCCAAGTGTATATGTATTTTTAAATAATATTTTAAATACATATGGGCGGATTTTGGAATTTTGGTGATGTTTTCGAATAAGATCTACCAATAAAATTTGATTGTTGTGATTATTGCGAATTTGTCTTACACTAAATTCACGCTTATTGGTTTATATATTTAGAACAATAGTTACAATAGTAAAAATTCTATTTC